GGACTGTTTTTGTTAACAGTAATTGATAAACATGTATTTTAGCTCATATCCTCTTAATAGACTGGTGGACACGTAGCTTGAAATTATCTTCGCTTGGTTTTTTTTTTGCTTTTTATAAATTATACGTAGAAACAAAATATCCCAAATTAGTGGAATTGAAATAAAAACCTTGATCTCTTCGAATAGTTGCAAGCATGGTCGGTGACTATACGGCTCACTTGTCAGTAGTTACCTAATTGTTTGTAGCCTAAGGGGCTATTCCAGCAATGCACGGACTGCTAAGTGGGCTCATGGACTCAACCTGAGAGAATTTGCTAACACTAGCCCTAATATGAGCAGTGCTTCGCTGCCTCTACCACCAGTTCGGAATTGCGACCCAATGAGAAGAGATTGAATGAGAGAGAGGCGAGAGTAGTTATTTACTTTTTATTTTTTTTATTGCTTAGGTTTGTGGACGAGCTCACAGCCCACCTGGTATTAAGCGATAGTTATAGTGGAGGACTTTCTTCAGCGCTTCAAATTGCCCGACGATGTTTGGGAACTCCTTAGAGCCAAAAACGCCTCGATCCGCACCTATGATAGCTATCCTACCGAGGAAAATCGTATTCAAATACGTGCCCTATAACGCTTAATTTCTTAGAAGGACTCGCGCCGGTTTTAGTCGTCGGAGATCCGTGGTTCGTGAGAAACGTCGGCTTACACGACGACCTGAGCCTCGAATCGATCCGAAAACACATGAAGTCATCGTCGGAACGGTACTTCGATAAAGCTATGCGTCATGACTACTCCCCGAATCCTGCTCACGCAGGAGCCAATCACCGTCGACGCCCTAGACACGTCCTTACGGATCCACCAGATTCAGTAATGCAAGAGGCATTAGACGCCTTCAGCTCTATTAAGTCCGCTGAGATTCTCGTCGGATCTTCTCAGCGAGTCGAGTTTCCGATCAGATGGTAGACTCTGCGAAGCACTGCTCTTGCTAGAGCTAATATTAGCAACGTTTTTTTTTTATTGCTTAGATGGATGGACGAGCTCACAGCCCACCTGGTGTTAAGTGGTTACTGGAGCCCATAGACATCTACAACGTAAATGCGCCACCCACCTCGAAATATAAGTTCTAAGGTCTCAGTATAGTTACAACGGCTACCCCACCCTTCGAACCGAAACACATTACTTCTTCACGGCGGAAAATATTCGAAAAAGAACGTCCTCAAGTTAGAGTCCCATGAGCTCACCTACTCGCTCAGGGACGCTGGCATAGCTCTATAAGGCTACCATGTTGGTAGGAAAAACAAAAAAAATCGGAAGACTTACCGTAATAGTGCTAGTGTAGGAATTGGAAATGATAATATGAATAGCAGTTTTGAACAGAGTGAAGTATGCTGGATTGAAGTGAAGTGTGGTAGTTTATAGCGCTGTTTTTAAAATCTTTCCACTTACTGCTATGGCTCCACCTTAATTGACTCCCTTTCAGCGGGCTCTTTAATGCTCTGAGATGGTGCTCCCTACTTCTACCCACCATAACTTTCTAAAAACACTAAAAAACAAATTTGATCTGGCAGCACTGCTTTTAAATTAGTCTACTATCTATGAAAATCGAAAACCTTGGCAGTTGATTTATGTCTATTATCTATGGTTGCCGTTACGTAGTAACTATTATACCATAGACCTATATAGTAGGGACACGACATATTGTTCTATACGTACAATTGCTTATATAAATAGCACCCATTTTGAAGGCACATACATAAACATATATCTATCTCGTTCTTACTCAGCACTTTAACTCGCAGGAAAACAATATAACAGTATTTCAGTGCGTACATAAAATGAAACATGAATATACGTAAATATCTNAAAGTGGTGAAAATGTCGAAGAAACCTCTTCGATCGCAAGCAAGAAATATTGTTTTCAATGTTTATCAAAGAATACTTGATGAACAAGGTGCAGAACAAACACAATCATCGATATTGAGCCATGTGCAAGCGTTAACTGGTTAGTAGGAATGACACGTCTTGATACTTTGGTTTATTGCATTTTCGTGTGTATTATGTATACTAAGCTTTGGTTTATTTCAGGTGTTTCTAAATACTACCATAAGACGAATTGTTGCTGAAGGCAGATCTAACAGAGGCGTATTTAGTACGTTAGGTAAAAAGAGGAAAGGTGGCAAAAAAAATTATTTGGATAGTTTTGATTTAGAATTGATCAGAAACAAGATAAATGAGTTTTACACTGTACGAAAAGAAATACCCACTACAAAATTATAATATATATACTTACTCAGTCTGGCCATAAATACTGTTACAATTAAAAATAAAAATAAATCTATTGCAAATAACATTTGCTACTTTTACAGGGTGTTAGTTTAATACATAAATATAAAACAATTTAAAGTATCAAAAGCTTATTCGAAGTGGTCTCTATTGGCTGCAATACAGTCCTTCAAACGTTGAGGCCAGTTATCAATAGAAGCACGCACTCTTTCCATGGGAAAATTTTTCACTGCCAATCGTACGGATTGTTTTAGGGACTCCAAATTATCATGGCGTTTAGAGCAAGCCGTACTCTCTAAAACTGACCATAAATCATAATCCAGCGGATTAAGATCGGGACTAGACGACGGCCAGTCTTCAGCTCTGATGAAGTCCGAAACGTTCGTTTCCAACGAAGACTGCGTAGACCGAGCTTTATGACCTGGCGCAGAGTCTTGCTGGAAGGATCATTCTTGATTATTGAACATGGTGTTGTTAAGGGGCTTCACTACCTTCTCAAGAATGGTATCTTGATACACTTGTGCCGATGTTTTGATACCTTTTTCACAAAAGTATGGCTCAGTCACTCCTTCATAGCTAATACCCCACCAAACCATCACTGAAGTCGGATAGTGCCCACGTTGCACTCTGTCGACTAATTGGGAAGCTTCCGTAGAGCTTTAAGCAAAAATACGGTCATTTTGTTTGTTAAAATGTTGCTCAATTGTAAAAAAAATTCCCATCCGTAAGCCCAAACATTTTTATACCTCTCTTTGGTACCGCTCTAGTAAGTTGTTTCGATTTTACCACCCTTTTCTCTTTTAAATGATCAGTTAAGAATGACCATACGTCTCTTATAGGCTGCAAGTCCTAAGTCATCTTTTAAAATACGCGACATGGTTCTAGGTGCTATCTTCATCTCCCGAGAAAAATCTTTTGCTTTCGGACAGGATTTCTTCGAATTCTTTCCCTTACTGCTTTGACCACCTTTTTCGTACGAACACTACGTGGACGGCCAGATCTTTTTCTGTCACAAACAGAGGAGGTCTCATTGCACCTATTAATAGCCCGGTACACAAACATTTTACTAATACCAAGCGTATGGAGAGTTTTAAAAATTGCTTTGGCTCCATACCTACTTTGTTTGTTAAGTAATACGAACCAGCGATTCGCTTCTCTCTTATCAACCATTCCATTTTAATATCGCAAATATTGTACAATGTATTGGCGCCCAAAATGAGAAAACTCAATGAGCAATATTTATAAATGACAGATTCCAATTCAAATGTAATATTTTGTTTAAGCAACATTTTGAAACAACAATTTTTCAAGTTTCTGATAAGCCTATATTTAATTATAATTAATTCATGAACAGCCTAAATTTCAAACCCACATTCGCCACAGTAAGATTTTCAAAAATTATCCTTGATCATCGGATAAATTATATTTGCATGTATCACAAACAGAATCAGCCGCTATAAGGAAAAAAAGTATCAAAACGTTTTATTCCAATTTCCCCAGTATTGCTAGCGAAATCAATAAAAAAAATAAAAAATAAAACCATCAGATTCTGGTAGACCTGTACATATTATTAATTCCATGCTAATACCCAAGGCAATTCAAGACATAGATTATATACATAAAATTTGATTCAAGGCATTGAAAACTTTGAAAAGGTTAAAAACAATACTGTACACACAAAAAACTGCGGTTAAACTTTCCTTTATGGTCCGTCGATTTTTGGGTCGGGGTGGGAGTGGGGGGATGGGAGGGGATAAGGGTTTACCCCCTGCAGCATTCCCACCCCGCGGAACCCCATGGTTATGTAGATATTCACGGTTAATGTTTTGAGGTTAGAATAGCACTATTTAGTTAAAATAGGGTTAAAATTTAGATTAGGGTCCATCAATTTTTGAGTCGAGGAGGGAGGGGTGTAAGGGCTTACCACTGCACCATCACCAAGCCACAGATCCCCATGGTTATGAAGATATCCATGGTTAACTTTTTAGATTAAAATTGCATTATTTAGTCAAACTCGAAGGGAGCTTAAGTTTGAATCCGCCTTATCTCCGGCGCTGCGGGAAGAGCAGCCCTTCCGCCCTTGCATGCCAAAGCACGATCACTCGTGCTCTGCCACAGTGGGCGAAGACTGCTCTCCTTTTTTTTTTTTTTTTTTCCTACCTGAGCTATTAGCCTTGAGAGGCTATATCAGCGGAACCTTAACTAGTAGGTGAGCTCACGGGGCTCAAACCTGATGACGTTGCTAACAGGAACCCTAGCAAGAGCCGTGCTTCGCAGAATCTACCACCGGATCGGAAACGCGACCCACTGAGAAGATCCGGCGAGAAACTCAGTGGGCTGTGTCTGAGGGTTAATTCGCTCGTCGAGCCCTTCGTCGCAAGCGACGGGTTCGGCGAGAACGGTGACCGGTGCTTGAGGTATCTAAAAGCAACGTTAGTGGATCGGGAGGATCCGAAATGACGTGTTTGGGGTGACGTCGACTGCTTTCCATTCTTTCCGCAGGATCGGGAATGTAGTTACCGGCGGCCACGTTGAGAGGGTTCTCGTGTCGTGCCGCTTTATCGAAGTGCTGTTCTCCCTCCGCGCCTCCTGTTTTTTATATACACTAGGAGTAGGGCAGACAAAACCAGGTGGAAAGTGGGGTACTCTGATTTGGTTTTCGATATTTTTCGAATATTTATCCAATTTTATTACCAAAACACGAGCAATTTTACTATTTTATATTTAATCTTATATAAAAAGATATTTTATTACAGACAAATAAAAAAACGCTATAAAAAAATGCGTCATTCACGTTCCGTTCCACAGTGTAAACAATTTGTCATTTTCTGTTTAAAAAAGTCAATATAATTGCTTATTACAGCAACAATTACTGTGCACATTAATTACAACAAATTTACTATGTGAATATATTAATATAATAAAATATATTTCGGTAAAAACATGACCTAAAATTTAATAAAATACTCGTTTACCGTGAATGGAACGGTAACGTCAACTGTGACGTCTACTTTGACTGTTTTGCCAATAATTAGGAAACCAAATAGGAAACTTTAAATTTTTTTTATCTCGTAATCCGTGAGTCTCCGCAACTTGAAATTTTGCAAAAAGCTTTCTATTTATGAGTACTATGACAAAAAAATTGTGAACTTCCAAATCGACAGACCATAAAGGAAAGGTTAGCCAACGGCTAACTTATGTCGGACATTTTATAAACAAATTTATAATCCTTAAAACCCAATAGATAACAATGTTTTTTTCGACCAAATCATCGTAAAGCATGCCTAATAACTGATAAAATTAAAATCGAATGAATATTTTTTCACCTTATCTGTTATCTTAAATTAAAACTTGCAAAACTGCTAAAGTCACTACCTACCTACCAATTTATTTTTGTTAAACAAAGAGTGTAGGTTTTATTTAAGTTATAATTAGAACTAGATACAATGACAACTGTGCATAACAACATCGTATCAGGTCCAGAAGAAAGGCCCATTCCAGCTCATTTATCATTTGGTCAATATTTGTTTGATCAACTAAAAAAAGGTGGAGACCGTGTAGCGCTGGTAAACTTATTATTTATCATCTAGATATAAATAAGTGTGAAATAAGTTTTTTTTATGTTTATAATTTCCTCTAGGTGAGTGCAGAAACTGGAGAACCTAAAAGTTACAATTTTTTTTTACAAAATAGTGTTAATTTAGCACTGACTCTCCAAGAATTGGGACTAAAGAAAGGTGATGTAGTCTCCCTAAGCAGTGAAAACCGATTTGAATTTATTGTAACTTCCCTAGCCGTTATATACTGCGGAGGTGTTCTCTCTACACTTAATATAACATATTCACCAGGTCAGTTAATTTGTTCATGAATTTCTAACTTATCTTCTTACATATACAGATAATATTTTTGAGTGTTTCTTTGTGGATGTCGATGGGTACAGTGACCACTAGATCAAAGAATCTGGCTTCAATTCTTGTCAGTCTACTTATTTATTAAGTTGTGTGGCAATTCTTCGGACATAATTTCAAGTTAAAAAATATCCTAAAACTTTCAGGTGAAATTATTCATATTCTTAACATAACAAAGCCTAAGTTTGTATTTACTTCGCCAATCACAGCTCAGAATGTGTATGATAGTTGTAAAGATCTATCATATGTGAAACACATCATTACATTTGGAGACTTTGATGTAATCCCAGGCCTTATGTACAATGACTTAATGAAGAAGGAACATAATAATGTGGAAGATTTCTCATTAGTTGATGTAAATGGAGTCGAGGATACTGTTGCAGTCATGTGCTCATCAGGCACAACCGGCTTGCCTAAGGGTGTTATGCTCACACATGTCAACTTTCTGACATTATGTGCTCATTATAAGTAAGTCCAAAAACAATAAGTAATATATATATTTTTTTTAATTCTAATTCAAAATGCAAATAACTTCTTAATAATTATTATTTTCTTCTTATCAGGTATTATTTTGATTCTGTGCAAGAGAAGAAGAAAGTTCCAATAGTGACTGGTTTAGCACTGATACCTTGGTTCCATGCATATGGTTTCATAACTACATTTGCTCTAATGGCAATGAAAATCAAAATTGTCTTTCTAATTCGGTTTGAGGGTGAACAGTTTTTGGAAACAATTCAAAATTATAAGGTTAAAAAAGCTACATGGCTTTAGTTGAATTAGGTCATAAAACATTAATTTATTCTATATAATAGTAAGAGGGACTATCAGAATATTGTAAACACTGGACATTGTTGTAAAATAATGTCTAAAATCATACAATCGTCTTAGTTGATTTAAAATAGCTTGATACTAAGAACAATTCAGTGATATTTCTAGGGTTAGGTCTTTCTCGAAAAGTCTTACTGAAAGTTGTTTAAATGTATTTATTTTCAACATTCCATTTGATGAAATTTCTAATAAAAAATCTACATTTATTTTATCCGACATATCAACCTATATTTAACAAACTGTGTTCATATTCATTTTGAAGATTATTCTACTATGCATTACAGCAAATACTATTAAAATTATTTTTCTTTGTGATATAATATGACCAACAATTAATAACTTATATGCACATTATTTTTACTCATTACAAATAGTGTTGTGGGTTTACTTACCACTACTGTATACTAATCTGCCTGTCAAATTATCAATGGCTGTATCAAGCTCAGTGCGGCCAAGCAGCATTTGGTCTTCGTAGGGTGTAATAAACCCACGTGTGTAGGTACTACTTCCTGGCCATTTCTGCTGCGAGATTCAGGTTTTAGGCATGAGACAGACAATACAATGAAGACTTAGATGACATGTCTCAACTGTTTCTTCTCACACTTGTGCCTCTATGACGGTGGAATTATATAACTACATATTACTTACGTATTAAAAGATACAATTAAATGATGATCTGTGTATCTAAATCTTTATAATTGACTATATATTCCATTTTCTTTTCTATTCCTAAAAATTAAATTATCTATAATATTTTGATTGTGTTAAAGAGCTTAACTTTATTTGTTTATTTATTTCAGATAAACATGACCACAATTGTACCTCCATTGGCAGTTTTCCTAGCAAAACATCCACTGGTACTTAAATATGATTTGTCTTCTTTGCATGAAGTGTGGTGTGGAGCAGCTCCACTTTCAAGTGAAATACAAAAAGCTGTCACCAAAAGGTATTTTATTCGCAACCTCAATTTATAGGATAGGATAGGATTTTTGTTTACTAATAACATAATGTGAAACTGTATAATGTATAAAATTACCAGGTTCTAAAGAACTCAATTATAATTTAACAATGCATCTATTTTAAGTGTTATATATATTTATATATGTTATATATATTTATATATGTTATATATATTTAAGTATATTATGCTTAAAGAGTGTGTTGAGTTTATTTATAATATTTATGAACATGTACTTGCATTTTCTACCGGTTTTGGCTAGCCGTAGACGTAATTAAAATTCCTTTTGCAGTTTAATCTCAGAGTTTATATTGACCACGTGACCTTATTCTTTGACTACGAACATCCGAAATAGCTTAATGACAATAAAAAATTCGAAATTAAATCTTGAATGGAGTTTTAATTACGTACAGTAATCGGCACGAGTCGTGAGCTCTTGATAAAATAGGGCGAGGCGTCTGCGCAAGTTACTATCTTAGGGTACACTTAGGGTAAAATTAAATGGTTCACTTTTGCATTACCTTTTTTATAATTAAATTAACTGCGTTTCATTTAGGATTTAAAAATGTATTAATAATTTTATAATCGTTTTGCTCGGGATTTAGCTCGTATTATGGTCAGAAATAATCCTATTTTTAACGACTTTCAAAAGGTCATCAATTCATCCTGGGTTTTTTTTGTAGAACAGATATGTTGTCAAGTTTCTACCGCTAATTTGCTTTTCCAATGTGCTGACGGGTATGGAAGATATACAATATTGTTAAGCTATAGACGATGCTTATTGATTTATCTGGTGCCAAGGAAACCATTTGAATAATATACCTAAACCTATTTCTAATTGATAAACTTATAGGACAATGTTATAGCTGGTTTAAACAAGAACTATGGGACATATAAACAATTCCTTTATGTTATCTTTTAATAAGAATATTGATCAATGTCCAAGAAAAAAAAACAAAAAACCGACTTTTACTAAAAAGTTTCAAATAATACATAAATGTACTTGTGACCAGACCGACCAGACCCAAAAATGCACTTCTGCGCATGTCTAGGTCAGAGCTCACGACTCATGCCGATAACTATTCTTACAGTTTTTTTTAGTTCTAACATGATTACAGGACGGGTATTGACTTCATTAAACAGGGTTATGGCTTAACCGAGGCAACAATGGCTTGTTGTGTTGATTTAACCAGTGGTGAAAAAGTAGGATCATGTGGTACACCTGCCCCTGGCATGAAAATTAAGGTATAAGAATTAAAAAATATATATAGTCCAACTAGATTTGTTTCAAAACTACAAGAAGATAATAATTCTGAAATGTTAACAGCTACTAAGCTATTAAGATACCTCGTAAAAAACAATAGATTGCTTAAACTCTCTGCCCGTTTCATTAATAGACTACCAAAGACAGCATTGGCTAGTAATGGTATCCTACCCTTAAAACGGAAAACCGCCTTGACATGTCCTGGCTCACAAATAGGTACCGCGATTCCATCCATTCTAAATTTGGAATAAAATAAATAAAATGGAATATAACCAAAAAGTAAAGCTGAGTTATACCGGTTGTCCTTGATTATTAAAATCTGTTTTCACTGGCATATTTCCGAATCGATTCAATGTAACAATTATGGAGGGCTCCAAAATTGTAACGACAAAAAACCTTATGCAGGGTTTTGTATCGGTTAAGCATCGAACCATAAGCTCTGACCAGAAAGAGTTTCATTAAATTGGTATTTTCTGCATAAACTCAAACTAACGAATAAACAAATAGACAAATAGCATTAATATCGGTAATTTGGAACGTTATTCACCTAAAATATATTGTAATTGTATAATTTTTTGTAAATATTTTGATGCTGTCTAAAAAGTGTTGTGGAATAGGGACCGCTTTGTTGAATATAGAGTAACGTATAATAGCCGGCAAACTTCTTGAGCATTTGTTGACGTAGTGGGGGTAAGTTCGCGCATGGTACACTCACGTGCAAAAACATTATTTACTCTGCGTCATAATACAATTAAATTATTAAAATCAATATATGTATTTATTTATATATTTATTAGAACATCAACAAAAAATATAGGTTAATAATTGTAATAATTTAATCTTGGGGTAAAATAGATATTCCTTCTAATAAGTCAAAACTAGAGCTGTTGCCAGGTCTTGGTTCGGTTGAAGCTGGTATTTGTAATTTTTTTTTCGTTATCATAATCTTGACCATCATCATCATCACTGTTTTCATCACCCGAGTCGCTATCATCGTGATGAGTAGACATAGGGCTCATCGGTGTAGTTTATAACTCGATCGGTTCGGTCTTCTTTTTTGTCTATAATTAATTATTTTTTGAAGATATTCGATTCGTAGTAATCGAATGTTACTTTTTTCAATTACCAGCTTCCGATTATTTTCTGTTTTTTTTTTCCATCTGAAGCCTAGCTCTTTCATAATTCGTCGTAAACTTCATTCCGAGCCATTAAAATTTATATCTTCTTTAAATATTTCGAAGCCTTTCTACGGTACGGAGTTTCGCTGCTTGTTATGTAGTTATTATTACATCTTTTGATTACAGATGGAATGAAACTATCCATTCCGGTAACTTTCTTCTTCCTTGATCTTTTCTTACCCGGAGTCCGAAACACGGCGAGCAAGCCAGAGCCTTTAGCTTCGTTAATAATGCACCTAACAGTACTCACTGATGTTTTTGTTGCTTCCGAAGTCTGTTTTACTTTTTCCATATCATTCTTCCCCTGTTTTATAATGAAGCAATATACGTCGTACACAATTTTTCTACCCTTTCTTTTGAATACTACACCAGTTTGTCGCGGCATAGTGTATTTTTTATAAAAAATCAACAAACACTCAACAAATAGCAATGGCAACAAAGTCAACAAGCAATTATAACAAATAACTTAACGATTAATAACGATAGACTTTTCACTGTACGCAAGCGTACTTTTGGGAGCAAGCGGAACGAGGGTGCGGTGCGGGACGCAAGGTTCGACTGATCTACCAATAACGCGCTCGATACGATTTCCCCTGCCGTCGCGCCTCACCCTCACCACCAAAGTGATCTAAAATTCGGTTCTGCGCAGTCAAGGTCATTTGCTCAAGAAGTTTGCCGGTTACTATAACACTATCTATCCTATGTTTTAAAATAAACGGAAAACATTATTCAACTGCTGGGTTAAACAAAAAATATGTATATAGTTTCAATTATTTTGTGTTCAGTGAATTCTCAATGTGCTGCAAAGACATCCGACAGGCGCTACGGTATTGTAAATATTGATCATTCGGTTTTATTACAAAATGTTCTGCAATCTGTAAAACACAACCTTCAGTCTCGAACTTTCCATTTGCATTTACCGTTAAAATGATTAATGTCCAAGTCCAATCTATCACAATATGCCGCTTTTCTAGAAAGTTCAGGCTTTACAGTTATCAATGTACATAAATACATATGACACCGATAAATAGATAATTTTACATTTTATACATACCAGGTTCTAGACATAGAGAGTGGAGAGAAATTAGGTGTGGAGCAAGAAGGCGAATTATGGATCAAGACGCCGTTACGCATGAAGGGATACATGGGCGACAAAGCTGCGAGCGACGCCCTGTTCGATGGCGAAGGCTACGTCAGGACTGGCGACATTGGATACTATGACAAAGATGGATTTTTTTATATTGTCGATAGGTTAAAAGAACTTATCAAATATAAGGGATTCCAGGTAATACTTATTTTTTTATTGCTTAGATGGGTGAACGTAAATGCGCCACCCACCTTGAGATATAAGTTCTAAGGTCTCAAGTATAGTTACGACGGCTGCCCCACCCTTTAAACCGAAACGCATTGCTGTTTCACGGCAGAAATAGGTGGGGTGGTGGTACCTACCCGCGCGCGGACTCACAAGAGGTCCTACCACTAGGTAATGTTTTGATGTTGAAATCAAAAGATGGTTCAATCATTAAAAATAATGATTGAAAAAATAAAACACTCAAAAATTGAATTTTACAGGTAGCTCCGGCTGAATTGGAGGCCTTATTGCTACAACATAGCGGAGTCGCCGACGCCGGTGTAGTGGGTCTACCGGACGAGCTCGCGGGAGAACTGCCCATTGCTTTCGTTGTGCCACAGCCTAACTCAAACGTGACCGAGAAGGAGCTAATAGAATATGTTGCTTCAAAGGTATATTACCGTACCAACGATTCATCGATATTGTTGACAGAATGAATAACTATTGAAATTGTCTGCTGACTACTCGAACCTTAACTTCTATCACCTCCTAGCCTAGCCAATACGCGCCAAGAGAAAATTTTGACTGACCATCTACAAAATCCATAAAGCATGATGAAACTTAAATACTTAGCTTTTTTCATTTAATTTTTGTATTTTTTCTATAAACCCTCTCATCTCGATGCAGCATTTGTCAGTGCCCCTATATGAACAGAACGGCTTTATTTAATTCATCCTCTTATCGTGGCCGCAAGTAACTACTTACCCTATCTTGCGTCGTCCAAAACACGTCATTTTTTTCCCTACCTATTCTAGTGACCTCGGGGGGTCATACTAGATTCACCGGGCGAGTAGGTGAATTCAGGGGGCTCTAACCTAGTGACGTTGCTAAGACTAGCCCTAGTAAGAGCAGTGCACTGAAAAGATCCGGCGAGAAACTCAGTGGGCTTCATTTCGGATCCTCCCGAAATCACTATCGGTGCTTTTGGGCCTTTGAAGCACTGGTCACTGCCCTCGTTGAACCCGTCGAATGCGATGAAAGGTTCAACGTGAAAAATAATCCACAGACGCAGCCCACTGAATTTCTCGCCATATCTTCTTAGACTCCGATCTGGTGGTAGATTCAGAGAAGCAATGCCCTTACTAGTACTAGCGTTAGCAAATTCGCTAGGCAGAACCCAGTGAGCTCGCCTACACATACGGCGAACCTAGTATAACCCCTCAAGGTTACTAAGATAGGTAGATAAAAATATATATTCAAAAGTTATTTATTTTTTAAACAATCTCAGTACCTTATTTTAAATAAAGTGTACCGATTTATTAAGCTCGTAAAGTGAAAATGATATGATATATATATTTTTAATAACAGCTATCACCAGCCAAACATTTAAGAGGAGGTGTAATATTTATCAACGTAATACCAAAAAATGCTTCAGGGAAAATACTGCGTCGTGAGCTGAGGACCATGTTAAATTTAAGCAAAAGAGCAAACTGTAACATTTTGTATTAAAAAAAAAAACTAAGTGCCATGTAATAGTTTTGAACCATAATTTATTCACAATGTTATCTTTTCATTTGTTTGTTAAATACAATTTTATAATAAACATTTATGATTTTCATTAATTGTCATATAATTATGTACAAACCTACTTATTTGCTAAAGTTTCTTGTAGTTTTTCAGGTATTCTTTCTAAAGCGTAACTGTGTAGTTCGTTATTAACTGCAGCTAACACACCAGTTTTATTTGGTTTAGTAACATTTGCTCCATATTTGTAAAAGTTACCAAGTATATCAGTCAATTTCCCTCCTGCTGCGGAAAGAATCGCTTCAGNATTGTCATACAATTATGTACAAACCTACTTATTTGCTAAAGTTTCTTGTAGTTTTTCAGGTATTCTTTCTAAAGCGTAACTGTGTAGTTCGTTATTAACTGCAGCTAACACACCAGTTTTATTTGGTTTAGTAACATTTGCTCCATATTTGTAAAAGTTACCAAGTATATCAGTCAATTTCCCTCCTGCTGCGGAAAGAATCGCTTCAGGTGCGCAAGTATCCCATTTCTTACAGCCGGGACTAGCAAAAACATATATTGATGCATTTCCTTCTAATAATTGCAGGACCTAGAACAATACAAATATTACAAAGACGAATCTCCAAAAAACGAAAAATGCCTATTTTTATGTTGGAAATGCAATTTTCGAGTTTCATCAATTTAAAGTATCATTTGGCAAAGAATTGGAAACAATATTACACGCATGAACCGATTGAAAGTAAACTTTGGTTTGTCATGAAGTATTAGAGTACATTTAAAACCTCATTTCATAAGAATTAAAAGGCTAAAATTTAGTAACATTGAGATAAAAATTAGTAAATGTTCCATTAATTACCAATTTGTTTTTTGATTTTTTTAAACAAACATACAATAGTACATATTTTATTGTAGGAATAGTCAGTTTACATCTTTTATTACTATTATTTATGACATGGTTTGTTTGTATTCTCACCCATTGTGTTTTTATGATTATTTTTATTTCGTTTTTTTCCTACCTATGCTGATAGTTGTGAGAGGTTATATCAGCGTTACTCTAGCGTGTAGGTGAGCTCTCGGGGCTCAAACCGGAAGCGTTGCTAGTACTAGCCCTAGCAAGAGCAGTGCTTCGCAGAATTTACCGCCGAATCGGAAACGCGACCCACTAAGAAGATTCGGCGAGAAGCTCAGCGGGCTGTGTCTATGGGTTTGTTTCATGGTGGGCAGACAAATTTCAAGTCCACTTGATGGCTGTTACTGTAAACCACAGACATCAGAATTCTGAATTGCTTTGAAGTATTTGATATTTACCTTTGAACCATAACATAGTTCAAGTGGCTGTGTTTTTAACTATATATATACTAACTTTTCTTATTTTAATATAGTTTTGAGTGTCTTATTAGTTCAAAGGAATCTCACAGTAGTATAGATACCTTGTAACCAGCTCCACCAACCCTAAGCACCTTTGAAGCATTCATAACTTTTAGTGCCTCCTCAGTGCCTCAACAGGATTCGAATGGCTTCTAGTAGTTGTAATTACGATGGATTCAGGAGGAGGAGCCGGGGTAAATCCACCTACACCCACACCATGCAGTCCCCAAATTGTCCTACCGATTTTCTTGTCACCTTCAACTATATTTTTATAGTATGGTTGATGGATGACACCAGCAACTGGTGTCTCATTCACAGCTATACCAATTAGTACAGTCACATGTTCTAAGAATCCTGCAACAAATAATAATTACAACATTAATGTTTCAATAATTCCACTCGTAAAAAACGACAACAATTACTACAAAGATTGTTTAGGACAAAACTATTAAAATTAAATATGGCATGCATAGTTTTGATAGGAAAGCACAAAGAAAATGTTTGTAATTTTAACTATTCAAACCTTGTTAATAACAGTATAACAGCAATCATTACGCTATTTACAATAAGTACTTTACTTTATGCATAGCATAGAATTTAATATAAAAAGTGAAATGACCTTCTGTTCTGAAATTTCTATATTATTTACATGGTTACATAATCCAGTTTCGATTAATCTCTTAATTTATTACCATAATTGTTTTGTAGTAAGCTTAAATACCACTTCATACTAATAAATGGATGTGTTAAGTACATTTTCCATCTTTCCCACGGATCTCTCTTCAACATTAGGGCACCTAGAATTGTTTACATAATGTAATAAAACACTTTCTATATCATGAAATCAAAGAGAAGGGGACTTTCTTTTCTACTTTCTTTTACAAATGTACAACCATAACACATTTTAAATTGTATACCTTGAGTATATTCTGAAGTTCCATCAAGTGGATCCACCCACACTACAATATCCTCTTCCTTGACTTCTTGAAGATTTGGAGGACATTGNCCTAGAATTGTTTACATAATGTAATAAAACACTTTCTATATCATGAAATCAAAGAGAAGGGGACTTTCTTTTCTACTTTCTTTTACAAATGTACAACCATAACACATTTTAAATTGTATACCTTGAGTATATTCTGAAGTTCCATCAAGTGGATCCACCCACACTACAATATCCTCTTCCTTGACTTCTTGAAGATTTGGAGGACATTGCAATTTTAATATTTCCTTATCTATTTCATTCACTAACCAATCACTCACAACTTCACCCTGAAATTGATTGAATTTTCAAATTTCAATTACATTAATAGACTATAATAGTTTTATTACAATTTAATTGTATATTCAATGTCAAATTAAATACAAACAAATATTACCTTTATTAAGAGAAAGGATATTTTTTCTATAAGTGATCAAAGGTAATACAAGGCCACATTCAGTCATTATATAAAACAATTGTATTACAAATATTATTCAGTGGCTATATTATTCATAACAATATTATTCAAATGAATTACCTCATCCTCCAGACTATCTTCTTCACCTATTATTTTTAAGTTAGGATATTGAGCTGCAAGTGATGCAACAATACAGCGTTGAGCAGACCTATCTGCTTCTGTTTGATAGTCGTCTTTACCCTAAAACATATCATAGTTAATAATTGCAAAAATGTTTCCCTCCTTTTATTAGGAATGTTAGAGAACTAAACATAACATAATTAAGTATTGCAAAAAATGTTTCCCTCCTTTTATTAAGGATGTTAGAGAACTACTTGACGGTAAGTAGTCACCACCGTTCATACATGTTAGCTCTCCCAGAACCATAAGCAAGGGCACGTAGTAAGACTTGTGTGCTTGGCTTCAATTGTCGGTTTTAATTTTGGAATACGATTAACATACTATTAACATCTTACCTTTTCAACTATACCAAGTTCCCCTTTGCTCATTACATCGCGAACGATTTTCCCAGCTCGGTTGGCAACTGATACTGACGAAGCTAGTAACCTAACAATTAAAGGAACACTACCGTACATAATTATTAGTTGTTATTATAGTTCAGAATAATGATAGAAATTACGAAATCAAATAAACTTTAGTGGGAATGACGTTAGTGATCTAATGTCTACAGACTATTTTTTTATTTTATTAAATGCGTTTAATCTATGTCAGAATATAAGATTAAATAAATACTTAACGTTGAGCTTTTAGTGAACTGAATTTAGAATAATCCGAGCACAAGATTATACGAACGTTACGAAAGGGGACTAATCGAAAATAATGAAATAGGCTGGTTGTGCTACATAATTTATGCAATTTTTTAATACACAGATCAGTACATAATAAATACCAAGCAAAGACTAAAAGAATTTGATGCCCTTTGAACTGAGGTCTCGATTGCAATCAAAATCGATTTCTTCTCTAAAAAAGAGTATTTAATCGATTATCAAATGGGTCAATCTCCCCTCCCGGTCCACTAACGGTGCTTTTAGGTACTTCAAGCACCGGTCACCGTTCTCGTCGAACCCGTCGCTTGCGACGAAGGGCTCGACGAGTAAATTAACCCTCAGCCACAGCCCACTGAGTTTCTCGCCGGATCTTCTCAGTGGGTCGCGTTTCCGATCCGGTGGTAAATTCTGCGAAGCACGGCTCTTGCTAGAGTTCGTGTTAGCAACGCCGTCAGGTTTGAGCCCCGTGAGCTCACCTACTAGTTAAGGTTACGCTGGAATAGCCTCTCAAGGCTACCAGCTTAGGTAGGAAAAAAAAGAAAAAAAAAAGTCAATCTCTTACGAACATGTATTATCCGTAGTTATGAAACGTCCGCAACGCACCGTACCGCAACGCACCATTTGAATTACTCTCACTTGAGAGTGATATGGATGAGAGTGATGAAGAGGTATTTATGATTAGTGTCATGATCAATAGATTCCGACCGAAAAATTGTGTCAGATTTTTCGGATGAGTGCTCCATAATGAATTTAAATATATATAGATAATAGTTTTGGGGCATCGACTTTCTTGAGACCCTATAAAATATGTTTTAATTATTATTTTTGTATGTTTTAAGCGGGGTAGCATGATAAAATAAGAAATTTTATGCAATCATATTAAATCGATATCAAGTCAATAAATAATTTACAACCCAAAACAGACGGCTGAACTGACGTGACAATGACATTTGGTGCGCCATGTTTAGCGGATTTTCGGCCTCATTAGACATTTACATAGACCTATATAGTAGGGATACGACATATTGTTCTATACGTACAATTGCTTATATAAATAGCACCCATTTTGAAGGCACATACATAAACATATATCTATCTCGTTCTTACTCAGCACTTTAACTCGCAGGAAAACAATATAACAGTATTTCAGTGCGTACATAAAATGAAACATGAATATACGTAAATGTCTCCGTCTCCGTCTAATGAGGCCGAAAATCCGCCATGTTTAGCGCGCCAAATGTCATTGTCACGTCAGTTCGGCCGTCTGTTTTGGGTTGTACATTATTTATTGACTTTGATATCGATTTAATATGATTG